TGAGCAACTCTGAGACCTCCGGAGGTAAACGGAGCACCACTTTCTCTTCTGCGTAGCTGTCATCAAACTCAGCATCAGTTCCAGTTAGAATTATTTCAGCCTTTCTGAATCTCAACAGGATGCTTTTGGTTGTCACTGAAGTCCAGGCTTTCTTGATCAATTATTGTTTTCGGCTGAATTTCACTACTTGCAGCAGGACAGCGACTTTTTCTGCAGGATTCATGCATGCGCAGTAAAGGGCGAAGTCTATGGTGGTAATAGGAGAAGCAGATACTGACACACAAGCCTGGAGCGCCCTCTTGTGGCTGTCAGTGTGAAAATGTTAATATACAAGTTGCACCGGAGTATAAGTCGCAGGACCACCCAAACCATGAAAAAAGTGCGACATATAGTCCGAAAAATATGGTAATACAAATATATCTCTCAGCTATATACAAGATGTGGTAAGGAGGAAATAATGCAAATATGAAATGGACATAGGGTCACATAAGAGTGAGTTGTTGGACAGTTCTAGGGAGTTGTTGGGAGTATTATTTATTACCTAAAGATGAGTTATTATAAATCTTTATGGAGTATGGTATGAATGTAGTCCCACATCTCTCACTGTATGAGCGGAGCTGTAGGAGCCTTTTGAAGAATGAGCTCCTCTGTCCCTCTGTAGTCTGATGCAGTGGGTGAGTTTTTGTACAGCTGTAGGGAGTATTATCTCCTCTTTTACTCTATAGTCTGGTGCAGTGGTTGAGCAGGAGTGTCTTTGATGGAGAGCAGTTTGTCCCTCACTGTGAGAAATGTCTCCAGCTCACAGCCAATCACGTGACCAGCTTTACGGATCAGTTTGTCAATCCGTCCAAACAATTATATTATATGGAAATAACAAAATTGGAGCGCTACACTGGATCAAAAAACTTACGCACACAGGTGCTCATCAAACCGGAGGGCTAGATTCTCGTAAAATAGAAAAATGATGGCAGAGGTGAATTTACGCCAACTTGGTCGTCATCATAATTATAGTATATGTGTATTTTTTTTTTGTTTCACAGTTATTAAAAGCAACCAAACATTATGGCTATTATTGGCACTGAATTCTTAAAAAGAAGAAAAAGTTCTCGATCCAGAATTCACAACAAAAAACTGTCAATTTCAACCGATTCCCCATTTCCCAAAACTCCATCTAGATTGCTTGTCAAATGGCAGCTGCTCCATCCTTCTCCCAGACACATTTGAGTCTGTCATTCAGATGCAAAATTGGCCCATGTCAAACATCTCAGCTCTTTTAGGACACATTTAACAAAATAGGTATTATGTTGGGAGCCACAGCTCGTGAATGCTGGCAGAGTGGCAGAGTGCTTGTTGGAGAGGCAGCTCTGTGATAGCGACAGAGGCGTTTTCAAATACCATTCAGGTGATGTTTGTATGAAAAACAACCTGCTTTTGTGCTTGAAAAACATCACACATGGCGGTAGGACAGGCTTCAGTGGTTTCCTTTCAAACTACAGGATCAAGTCACGGGCTTAGCATCCATGACCGATTCACAGCACACTGCAGGAGATGAGGAGAAATGCATGTTTAGAATATACAAGAGAAGACGTCGTTTTGCTCAATGCAGAAAGCGTAGGACAGAAGACGCCAAGGTAAAACTTTTGTTTGTATTTTAACTGTCAATGTTTCTACTATCAGTACATTCATCTTAAAGGGGCCAATGGAGTTAAAAACAGCTACTTATGGAAGCAGTTTGTTGGAAGCAAACCATAAGGAAGCAACTGAGAACTGAGAGAAAGTAGAACTATGTGGATACAACTCAGACTGTGTTGTTTCTTTGTTATGGTTCCATCTAAGCTTTAGAATTTGAGTGTAGGTGAAGTATGTATGTTTTGTACCTTAAAGGTGCATTTATCTTGCTATTTTTTGATCTATGTTACAATGTTTTCTCATCACAAACATGAATGATTCACACATGGCAAAAGGAGAAATTCAATTTGTCAACTGGACAAAAGTTTATTTGGTCGAATACATTTTGCAGTTCATCCAAGCTGCTTTTTCAGTTCTGGTCAAAATGCTACTGGATACTTCTGTATATATGCCTGAAGGGAGGAGCTAACTATAGTGAAACTACTCTGAAACTAACACACATACTTGTGTGGCATCTTATTAGTGTTCACACATGTTTAACATGCCAACCCTGTATATTTAGACTAGTTCTTTTCTCAAGCATTTTGTTCCACCTTGTGATGTCATGTGGAAATGCAGGAAGTGCTCCATCGTGTTTTTAAACTCCATACAACTTCACTAGAATCATTTGGATAATTTCAGCCCTGGAATGCTCATCTCTACTGAGCTAAAGGTAAAAAGGTAGCTGTGAACTACACAAATTGGAACAGAGCATTTTGAGCTTTGGAGATGTAGACAGATTAATAATAAAGGATTACTCAAACATGTGGGAAACAAAAAAAAAACAACTACAGATATGTTTTGGATGAGACAAGAACATCATAACATGGCTTAAAGCTCACAGGAGTCAGTTTTGCGTAATATAGAACATTTAATTACAAGATGTTCCCCAAAGAAGATGAAACTGCACCTTTGCCCTGTATGATTTCATTATGCTCCTTATTTTGTAATTTATATTGACTCTTTCAGAACAGTTTAACTTTTTTATTCATTGCTCTACCACACTTCCATTAGCAGTAGGATGAGTGATTCCTTTTAGGCTGGCAGGTCCTGACAGATGACCTTTTGCATTAACAGTGCATGGTGCATGCAGTGGTGAGCCTGTGCCCTTCACTCCCCCCTGCTGAGCATGAGTGGAGCATGTAGTACACGTTACCCCTGAGTGACCCCCCAAACCAAAGGTACAACCCCATCAATCAAACTGTACCAAGTCAAGGCCCCCATTACTCCCGGGAGCTGACAGCAACACAACAAAGAGCTGATGCTTGTTTTTAGCTAACAGACTTCACTTATCGAGCGGATGTCAACAAGAAAGAAAGCCCGGGTGTTTACCGTAGAGAACCCATGGGTGCTGGAAACCCATAAAATAGTTAAGGTATAGAACTGTGTGTTTTCTAGTAGTTCATTGGGTAAATTCTGACAGTTTAAAAAAAAAAAAAAGTAATAATAATTTTCATTTTTTTAGCAGCTATGGTACTTTTACAGAAATATCACACATTTTATTTCTTTTTTTTTTTTTTTTTTTTTTTCATTTGTTTCCCCCTTTTTTCCATTTTGTTGTCAAAAGCTGCACAAATGTTAAAAAACAAATTACTTTAATTAAATCTGTATACATGACATTACATCTTACATCAGATAATGAGCAGATTTTTGGTGTACCTGTAAACATAGTCACTGTTGAGTTTGTGGGAAATCCAAACCAATGTGAGACTGCAACAATAACTCCCTCCTCTAAGGTCTATCACACACTGACTACCGTATTTTTCAGACTATAAGTTGCTCTAGAGTATGAGACTCACCAGTCAAAAAAATGCGTAATGAAGAAGAAAAAACATATTTAAGTAACACTTTTTGGTGGAAATGTATTTTATAAAATTAGAGACCAGAAACAGACATTTCATCTTGAAAGATAAGTTATAGTAATACCAGTAGAATAGAGAACAACAGGCAGTTAGAATTATTCCAGCCTTTCTGAATCCCGACAGGATGTTTTCGGTTGTCACTGAAGTCCAGGCTTTGTCGATCCCTCCAGTGACTTCCAGGAAATTTGCATGGCACACCCGCCCGGTTGCCATGTAACTGTGTTCTCCAGCCCTGCTTTCTCCAGTCCCTCACAAGTTTCTTGATCTCTTGCTCCAAACTTTCTTTCTGCTGCTTGATTACCATTTTCGGCTGAATATTTCAATATTTGCAGCAGGACAGCAACTTTTTCTGTAGGAGACATGCGCAGTAGAGGGCAAAGTGATAGTGGTACAGGAGTAACAGGAGTAGCAGATACTGGCACACAGGACCGCCCAGACCATGAAAAAAAGTCCAACTGATTCTTCTTCTCTTCTTTTTTTTTTTTTTTGTGTAATTTAAGAAAACTGTACCACAACTACAAATCATCAAGTGTCTAAATTTCTACTATAACTTAAAAGCCTTATCACGAGGGCAGTGGGCACATATTTAGCAGATTGTGTAATTATATTGTCCATTCCTCTGGGAGTGTGTTGTCCTATTTGCTCAGGATTCAAATGGTTGCCTTAGGCTGCAGTGATAATAAGTGGATGTGGGTAAGAGCACAGGCCTGGATGAGCTCCGCTATTCTAAATAATGGCAGCGCAAGTGTCTATTCATTAGCTTAATGACTGATCTAATCACATTCTATTTAAGTAGGCGATGTTATCCACAGAAAAGTACCAGTCAGACAACACTAAAAACATTCAAACACAGCTACCTCTACTGAATCCAATCAAACTTCACGCTAGAATAGCACTTAAGGTTTGGGCACTGAACTGCACCCTATTCACACAGATTTTTCAGACACTTGTTGTACATTCCTGTTTTCCAAGTTATTTTGCCTTGTGGTTGTCTAAGGATGGATTCACACTTTTTATACTTATTTGACTATAGTGACTACAGTGAATGTGACCTCCACCAAGTTGCATAGTTATATAGCGCACATTTAAAGCTTTCCCACTGCCCAAAATTGCATGACATTTTTTTCATTTTAACATTACAGGGCCTTGACAGAGGTTTTTGCTTTTTGAGTTATTTCTTTTTTTTTTTTCACCTAATAGGCTATTACAGTACCTGAATACACACAGTATAGCAACCTCACTTGTTCCTGTCTGATATTCCCCTTGTTGTCAGAAGTGCTTTTTGAGACCATATATAATTTAAACATCCCATTAACTGTAAACCAGCACATCAATACGCGCTGATTAGGCTGTAAGTGCTTGTGTTTGCACTGGCTCTTTATGGAGGTCGCCCAATGAAGAGGAGCGCGGGGAGTTGTGTATTGAATTAAAAAGACTCGACAGTAATGAATGATGCTTATGTGTGTGCAGGAGAATGCCTCTGTCTGGACGGATACATGAGGGACCCTGTGCACAAGCACCTGTGTATACGCAGCGAGTGGGGGCCCAACCAGGGGTAAGTGTGCGTCTGTCATGCTAACTCACTACATGGAGACTGGTTCTTTTAGTTAGTATAAGTTGGTCCACAATTGTCAGTGCAGGCATAGAAACCAAGGTTATCATAAGTAGGCAGAGCAGAGAAGTACAATGTAAATATATTGTAAGTACAGGAATATATTGTATATACTTACAATATAGTATATACATAGTATATACTTATTATATAGTTCTAGTGGAGGAGTTCAAGTATCTCGAAGTCTTGTTCACGAGGGGAGGATGGAGCATGAGGCTGACAGGCGGATCGGTGCAGCATCTGCAGTGATGTGGTCGCTGTATCAAACCGTTTGTGGTGAAAAGGGAGATGAGCCGAAAGCCAAAGCTGTCAATATCTACATTCCCCCCTGTCACCTATGGTCATAAGCTTTGGGTAATGACCAAAAGAACAAGATGCGGATACAAGTGGCCGAAAAGAATTTCCTCCGCAGAGTGGTTTGGCGCTCCCTTAGAGATAGGGTGAGGAGCTCAGTCACACGGGAGGAGCTCTGAGTAGAGCCGCTACTCCTCCATGTCAAGAGGAGCCAGCTGAGGTGGCTTGGGGCTCCCTCGGGAGGTGTTCCAGGCATGTCCCACTGGAAGGAGGCCCCGGGGAAGACCCAGGACACGCTGGAGGGACTATGTCTCTGGGCTGGCCTGGGAATGCCTCGGGGTCCCCCCGGAGGAGCTGGTGGGCATGCCTGGGGTGAAGGAAGTCTGGGAGTCCCTGCTTAGACTGCTGCGCCCCCGACCCAGCCCCGAATAAGTGGAAGAAAATGGATGGATGGAATATATTGCTCAAAATACTCAATTGTTTTAGTAGCAATAATAAGAATGCAAACTGCTGTATGGTAAGTCTAATGTATAGTCTATACACTTCTATTTCTACACTTTCTACTTCAAAATAATTTGATTAAATTTACAATGTATGTTATTAATTAAAACTACTTAAGACAATTACATGTTAATTAGGATAATATGGGTTCACAATTATCAGTACTGCTTTAGAAAATAAGGTTGATGTTGGTGGGTAGAATAGGAAAACATTCAGTTAAAGTATATTACCATTTAAAATTATATTTGAGCACAAGTTAACATTGTCACCTAAAGAGTAAATAAAAAATAAATCTAGTCACATAGTGGATCGCACTTTTATGCTTTATTGTAGGACATATTCAAACCAACATTGGCCCGTGAACATTTGCACATTCTGCTTTTTTGGTTAAGAGAAATCAACAAGAACTAAAAGTATCACGCAATAAAACCACTCACTGAAGTTTATAGTCACCATAAAAATTCTTCTAATTATTACAATCCAGGACAAGAAATATACTGGCCCTAAAATGCTTTTTTCGGAGCCTGTTCCCTGTAGCGACTCCCATAACCGCTTAATTGGGTTCACACCTGCCTGTTAAAAAGTCCTTGACATTTGGCTAACCCTCTCGGCCGCTGGTGCCAAAAACTCCAGGATGACCTCTCAGGGTGACAGATTAAAAAAAAAAAAAAAAAACACTTCTTTGTGAAAATAGGCCTATCCATTTTTGTTTTCTACTCCAGTGTTTGGTGTATGCATGGGTCAGTTGCGGTTAAAAATTTATATTTTTGGAATATTTTGGTTTTTATTTTGTTCACATCCTAAAAAATGTCATCACTCAAAGTCCTGAAAATACCTTACTGGCAGCGTGAATCACAACCAAATTAATTAGCTTCTGTCAACACAAAAATCTAAATTAATTGACATAATAACTTTCAGTACACATGCTGCTCAAAGTCTCGATTTAGTATGTTTGTTTTTTTTATCCATCCTTAATATAAAATTATCTGATTTTCTCTCTTATCACAGCAAGTGGTACATACAATTGTGTATCTTGTGTATTTTAATATTGTCAAGTTTACGACATTTTGCCCCAAACATGTTGCAAATTCGAGCACTGCGTAGCTACATTTAGTCTATATGAGACAAAGATCTGTTGCCTTTACTTCAGACAGAATGACACAGTAGTGAAAATCCCAGCCTTCTGCTCATTCCCAAATCCCTTGCTAGACTTTCTACACGCTCTGAATATTTTTGATGCTTTATTTACCTTTTGGAGACATCTGAGTTGCTCTTCTTTTCTCATCCCACCCACCAGTGCCCTTCTGCGTGTGAATCCCCCTGGTGGCTGAGTGTGTGCATGACAGACGGGCATCTCGGGGTGACTTAAATGTTTAATAAGCAGCCTGTGGCATCTCTTTCTCAATGTTCTTCTTTGTGTAGGAGTTTGCTCAGAACAGCCCTGTACCTTTCTCTCTCTCTCTCTCTGTCGCTCACTTTCTCTCTCCTCTCACACTCCTCCACTTCTGTCTGTGTTGGTCTTTCTTTCTCACTCTCCCCTAGGACCCCCTCTCTCCTCCTTCACTCTCTCACTCTTTCTTGCTCTCTTCTCTCTCCTCACTCATTTTCTCTATCTATCCACTCTCTTATCCATGCGTTTGTCTCCAGTAGTTTAGACTAGTGTAACAGCGTGCTCTCTGGCTTCCCCAAATGAGTGTTAAGACAGGTGCAGTGCATCCAGAATGCTGCTGCTTGGGCCTGATTCAAACCAGGAAGTACAAGTACATAAATCCTGCACTGACTTCCTGTGGCTCAGAGAATAGATTTTAAAGCATGAAGAGAGGGTGTACAACTCTTTCCAAGTACATCTCTGACATGTACCATATGCCATATGAACCATCTCGCAAGGCAATGCAATTTGTATATTATTTGTATAGTGCAATTCGTAAACAAAGTAATTCAAAGTGCTTTATAACAAAGACTTCCCCAAAGACTGGGCTGCGCTGCATGTAGGTCTGTATACGCCTGGTCTGCTGCACCTCTCTCCTCTTGCACCCCAGACTAGAACATGCTACAAAAACACAGATAGACCCACCTATTTCATTAAAAATGTTGAAATATTAAGACATGTTTTTTATCAGTTATAATCATTTTGTAATTATTTTATTGACTATTTTGTTCCAGTATTGCTTGTTCAAGTGAATGTTGAAAAGAAACAGAAATGGGCTACACTTAATGTCCAAATGGCAACTTATGGATCCTTTTATTGCTGGTTCAATTAATGTTTTTTGTTGTTTAAAATTGAGTAATACTAATTGTTCAGAGAGATACGATCATTCAGTCAATAATAAAATATCCTCATTAATAATGAAAAAAATTAATAATGGTCAAATCCATGTTTATTTTGTGACATATGAGTAATGTCTATTGACTTGGGTTGTGAAGGTTTGTGACTTTTAAAATATGGGCCCCAGAAATAAAGTTTGAGAAACACTGCTTTATAGAATAAGAAAGACATTAAAATTCACTATGGAAATAAATCAGAACATAAATAATCATAATAAAATTAAAAAAGAGAGAGAGACATTAAATGAGAGAGAAGAGTGCAGAATGAAAAGCTTTCAGTCATACGCACAGCTAAATAGAAGCGTTTTGAGCCTGGATTTAAACAGAGTCTGCCTGTCTCACGTGTTCAGGAAGACTGACCAGATTTTAACTGCATAAAATTGAAACGCTGACTCCCCATGTTTAGTCCTGACACTGGGCACCAGCAGGAGGCCGGTCCCTGAGCACTCTCTCAGACTTCAGGGACCGGCCTCCTGCTGGTGCCCAGTATCAGGACTAAACCTGGGGAGTCGGGGTTTCAGTTTTAATGCAGCTAAAATCTGTCTTCCTTAAGTTGACAGACCTTTACTCTGACAATGTTAAAATACAGGCTCAAAACACTTCTGTTTAGCTGTGCATATGACTGAAAGGTTTTTATTCTGCCCTCTTTTCTTTTAATGCTAATTTTGTGATTATTATTTATGTTTTGATTTGTTTCCATTGTGACTTTTAATGTCTTTCTTATTCTGTAAAGCACTTTGAATTACTTTGTTTACAAATTGTGCTATACAAAAAGCCTTGCCTTGCCTTTTACTCTCCTTTCCCTCAGCCTTTCTCTTTTCTCTCTCTTCCCTCACATTCTTAATCCTTTTTCTCTCTACCTTCTCTCTCACTCTTCCCCGCTCTATCCTTTCTCTCCCTCTCTCTCCCTCCCTCTCTCTCTCTCTCTGTCCCCTCTGATCCATCCTTCTGTTACTCCTTTCTTTCTCTCTCTCCCTCTCTCCCCCCCTCCTCTCTCCCTCTCTTCTTTTATTCTTTTGGTCTCTCTGCAGCCTGTTCAGTCCCTGAGCTGCCGGTCTACATTAATCTCCATCATACTCCTCCTCTTTCACACCACACTCCCTTTGGTATAGGCCTATTCCCACTCTCTCCTGACTGACATGCTTTGCCATTTCACACATGTAAGCAGATACAAGGCAAGGCACACACAAATAAAAGCCTCAGCTGTATGCTTCTTTTAATAATAACATTAAAAATGCCTTGTTTTAGTTATTAAATGATTTAAGGTAGGATATATGTAACTTCTGGTGGTGTGGGTAGTTATAAGTTTTATGTGTTTTGCTTACATTGGGAAATATACGTTCTTATTGTGAGTGGGATTGCCTCTCGTCAGTCTCCATGGAGCTATAGTAAAGTATAGAGATTCAGGGCAAAGCAAACCATTTCCATGGACACGACCCCGCTCACAGTCATAATGCTTGTTTTTCTAGGTATTTTTGAGCTATAAAACCACCTGAAATTGAATACATGTAAGGTAGAGCTGTTTAATGTCATACAGTGGAACATTCCAGGCAGAGCAATGACATATCCATAGAAACATGCAGGTGAAGGACACTGTGTACCTTTAAGTAACAAGAGAAATCCAGATATTACTGTAAATAATTGTAACACCTGTCGCAATAGCACATTGCGGAAGAGACAGACATAAATGATAATAATAAAGCTAGTTTATGTCACTGACACAATAATCCAAGAACAGATTTAAATCACAAAAACTATTCTATATGTGCAATATTGTTAAAAAACAGAAGCTGCATTAACTAAACAGCAGAATGAAACACTTTAGTGCTTAGTTTGCATCTGTAATGAGTCATAGAAGTTAAAAATTAACAAAAAATTCCCCATCAAAAAATATTGTTCCATCTGTCATTTATTGAATGATAAATCAGTATAGTAATTTTTGTGACTTTTTTTAATGAGACACTAAATGTGGTTTATGTATTGAAGCTGATAAAATGTGCTTCAATGCAGATTCCATTCATCACATTATTTTACTTCATTCATTCATTGTTCACCTTCCATCCTACCTTCTTAATGACTTGGGTTTGAGGGTGGAGCAGATGTGTGGAGCTGGACGGCAAAAATATCCCTTGTAATTTTGAGTCTTCAGATTAGGGATTAGGGGGCAGGCCCTACTAAAAGTTTTACCACTTCTCCAGTTTTGATTGAACACAGTTTTATGTTCCCTCTCTCTCTGATCTGTCTTTTTCATGCAGTCCTTGGCCTTACACCATCTTCCAGCGAGGGTTTGATCTTGTGATGGGAGAACAGCCCTCTGATCGCATTTTCAGGTAAGAGTGACTTCTCCAAACTTTCTCCGGTTTGCCTCCTGCTGTTGCACAGTTTGTGCAGTCAAAATCCTCATTGTAATTCTGCTACAGATATAGATAAGAGCTGCGTCAGCTGAATATCGAGTTTGTATGCATATATTATTTGTAGTTTCAAAATGTATTGAAGAATTTTCAATCTTTTCTTGCAATTGGTGCCTTGTTGTTAATAATATTTAAGAGGCCACATTTTAAGCTTTGAAATATAAGAATATGATGATTTTTTTAAAAGAACACATATGCTGCTTGAGCCTGCTATATATCGTTAAAACCTACAACGCCCATGGATCATTATGTTATAATTTGTACATTTTAAATTGCAATATTCATGTAAAACAACTTAATAAGAAACATGTCTGCAGACATCCATGTTATAAAACTGTGATGCCCAATTGGAGCAGACGTCACAACAAAGAGTCAGCAACACCAATGGGTAGCTACAGCTCACACTAGCATCCAAAATGCCTAGGAGACACTGCCAAATCCTACGTCTATCACCAATTATGAAAATAAAATGGAAGAGCTGAAGAAGAATAGAGCAGCGGGTGTATGAAGCGGGGCTGAAGCGGGGGTTGATCGGCAATATGGCGTCTTAAAAATAAGTGATTAAAGATAGCTCAAACAGGCATGAATCACTCCAAATATCACTTTGAGACTGTAAATGAGGAAGGGAAACAAATATAACATGGTTAAAGCTGATAGGTCTGCTTTAACATAAATGAAAAAATCAAACATGAAACTAGATTAGAATGAAAAGAACATATTTTCAAAAGCAATTTTACACATTTTCTTTTGTTTCTTTTGTAAACTCTTTGGAACTATTTTGGAACTTTTGGAACTATTTTGGAACTTTTGGAACTTTTTTGAAACTTATCATACAGTATGTCCTCAGGCCTGTCTAAAACCTTTGCACAGATGTGTAACTATTTGCTTATATTTTACCACCTTTCAGTATTTTCTGCACCTGATGTGCACTTGTCTGTTTTCATCTTTACCTTCAAACCTTCAAACTACTTTTTTCCTTTAGTCAGCAACAACTTTCATAACAAAGTATCCAAATGATTCTAACGAAGCTGTATGGCCTGGGACATTAAACTAAGGCCGGCGGGACGACTCCAGCCCACCATGCCCCTTTGACCGGCACCCCGGCTCCTTTGCCCCCCACCACTTGAATTGGCCCTATGAGGCAATCCTCAAAAGTGGTCATGGTCTATTTTTTAAATTACTTTTTGGCAAATGTCTGCATCTTGCATTTTGTTGATTTTTAAAAATATTTATATGAAGTATTTATATTTAATTAATAATTAGATGACGTATTAACATTTGCCGCCGAATTTGCAGCTGAATTTTCATCATGCAGAGTACTGTAGTTTAGTTAAGGACAGCAAAATGCCTAGTTTTAAAGTACGAAAAGTTGACAGAAAGTGCAGAGTTTTCAAAGAACATTGGACAACTGATTATTTTATTGTTTAGTGTAAGGAACCGTGAATATAATCTGCATCGTCACTATGAAACCCACCATAAAGAGTACGCTAACTTGCGAGGACAAATGAAAGAAGATAGGATTCATTGGATGAAAGGCGGACTGGCTGCTCAACAGCATGTGTTCCTTCGTTGTCCTGCCCAACCCTGGCCAGGCCCCCCCATCACAGTCAGGAGCGATGTGGTACCCAGAGAAAAAAGTTGGGTGACCCCTGCTGTATGGAGTTTAAAAACACAGTGGTGCAGTTCCTGTATTACCACATGACATCAGGTGGAACAGTAGAATGTTTTCCATTTGAGAGAAGAAAGAAGAGCCTAAATATGCACTGTTCGTATGTTTGTGGTAAGGAAATTACATTATACCATAGATCAGAAAATAGCGTAATATGAGCCCTTTAAACCATTACCATTTTGAGGACTGTGAATTGCTAAGGTAACAGTGCAAATGTGTCATCTTTCTTTAGTCTTTAAGACTCAAAGAAGTCTCCAAAATGCACCCCAGTAGTTTGATACATAGACAGCAGGCAGGGAGTTAACATCAGGAAGCTGCTGATACTGTGGACTTATTGTTAGGATGTGTCTGTTGGCACCAGAGCTTTTCTTATTCTGAGCAGTGCTGAGTCCTCAGACTGCTGCCACCCGCTGCACATCCCAATCTAAATGTTTGAGTGAGCGCTTAAGACTAGACTTCTCCATTTTCTCTTGGGTTTTAAACCAGAGTAAAAACATGGTACCATATTATTGACATTGCCACAAAAAGGTCACAGTCAAATGTCCTTCTGCCTGGACAAGTTTTTAAATGTTTTATCAAAGTGAAAAGCTTTTGGATTTGCATTTATTGTTGATACTGAAAATACAGGGTCCATTTTTTATTTTTTTTTTAAATACAGCATGTTTATCTCTAGTAAAAGACTATCACATGTTGTAGGTCATAATTAGGCTAGACCAGGGATACTCATTGTGCGGCTCGCGAGCCACATGCAGCTTATACCAAATATAGTAACACAGCCAATATATTTTTTCAGATGTGCTAGATAAACATTTAATGAACTTTGCAACACAAACATCTGCATTACACTAAGTATACATCAAGGCTTAATTAATGGTGTTTCCTAAAGAGGGCGCCGTGACACCAGCAGCCAGTGATCCGCGGATCTAAATGACCTGACCGACGTTTTCAACTAACCCACCCACAACTCCGACCGCAAAAAAATATTTGAAAATATTGTACCGGCTCTTGATTAACATCATCTAAATAAAGTGAGTGAAATGACTGTTAAATAAAGAGCTGCGCTAAACCTGCACACGTCTGATCTCTGAAAACATGAATTATCTCTAACGCGACATACACACAGAACAGACTCACCATCATCATCATCAACATCCCTTGTCACAGAGAGAACACTCATATTTCACTGAGTCGTGTCCTTTAGTCCAGCAGAAGCTAAACTGCATCAGCGCACAAGGAAAGAGCTTTTTTTTTTTTTTTTTTTTTTTTTTCTCCAGGTTTACAGTTTATGCAAATTAGTCATGTGGTTTTAAATTTCATTTCTGTAAAACATAAGAAAATGTGCGCAAAGCTGCAACAAACACATTATAATGTCAAACGGGTTGATGTGGCTCTATAATGGTTATGGTTTATATGTTGTAAAATTGAGTTTATGTATGCAGATTAGTAATAATAATAATAACAATGATGATAATTTTAATATAAAAACATTACTAAACATGAAGAAAGTGAAGGCTATGCTTGCAGCTCCCGCTCATCTCAGTATTAAGGTAAATATAGTTTTAATTGAAAATGTATTGACTGTGTTTCTTTTTTGTGGATTGTCCAATTTATATGTAGAAATGCACATTTGCAAAGGTGACTTGGTATGTTGGCGTATGTTGGGTATAAGTGTCTCTCCTCTTGATTTTGCTCTTCCAAAGTGGCTCTTGTGAAAAAAATAAATAAATGGTGAGTATCACTGGGCTATACATTTTGTTTATTGTAAATGCAATACTGTAATAGTGTGCTTAAACAATGTTATGATAGAAATAGATGCATTGACGGCCTGTTCAAAACTTCTGAACAGAACAGACTTTTTCCTACTGAAGTTTTTTTCATTTATGGTGTTTTATTTTTTACAAAAAGGATATGTAACTTTTTCTAAACCTATTGGCAAAGTGGAAGTTTTTGAAATAATTGCAAACAAGTATAGGGCTGTGGGCTGTATAGGTGCATTACTCAAGCATGCATAGATAACTAACAATACAACTCTGAAAAGTTCATAACAGAAATGTTTTTAAAAGTTTTAAAAGTCAATTTTGTGTCCTAAAGATTTTTTTCAGCCCATGGACTATTGAAAAATCCAGATTAGAGATTGAAATGAGGGTACAGAGTTGTGAAAAACAAATTCACCAAATTGCCGGAGCCATCATCCGATTGTTGACAACATGATAAATCTGGTAATACCACTTCAAATTTTTACCCCTACAGCCCTTTTTGTGATCCAGCTTGAACACCAGTAATGCTTTAAAGCTTACCCGCATGCCTTGTTGTTTACTTTAGCGGATATTACCATTAAACACAGAAGCAAACGAGCCAATTAGAATCACAGGGAGATTATAATGAACCAAAGGGGAGGATGTATACGGGATCCTCCAGGGTGCATGCAGATAAATGCTCAGAGTCAGCGCTCAGAAGCAGCTTTAGCCTTAGCGTAGCATCTCAGAGGACCGCAGACATGTTTTTCCTCCCAACAACTGCCGTCTCCCGGGATCTCTTACTGTTTTCCACCTCCACTTTCTCTTTGGGCTGCACTAGATAAGTCATACGCTAACACAACGTTCCCCTGATGTCCATTATAGCGCAGGGCTCGTTAAGTGGCCGCTAATTTGTCCCACTCTCGGCCGAATACGTCACGCAGTATCTAAGGGAGTATCAACAATTCACTGCATATTCTCATTAGAGGGAGATAAGTTATTAGAAATGGACATTGTATTTGAAGAAGTGGTAATAGCAAGTGTGAAGGAAGATGTCATTTAAGTAGAGCATGCATTTTATATGACAGCTTACTTCATGACAGCAGTTGGTCACACCTCTTCTTCAGCTTTAATACACACATGCGGTTTTATGTTACTGTAAAAGACACTGCACCTGATTAAAATGTGGAAAACAGAATCAAAGTTATTCCTCACTTCACTCGTGCATTACAAGCACCATAATTATTCACTGCGATGAGTTTGATGAGCGTTTTTCATAACTCTCATTGACCAGAGCGGAGTAAAACTAAAAACAATTTGTAGGCTACCACACGCTTCCTGATTATCAAACAATGAAATGTTCTATAATTTGATGCAAGATTTTTTTCCCTTCACATACCGTATTTTTCGGACTATAAATCGCTCTGTAGTCTAAGTTGCATCAGCCAAAAAGTGCGCAATGAAGAAGAAAAAAAACATATATAAGTCATACCGGATTATAAGTCGCACTTTTTCATGGAAATTTATTTTATAAAATCAGAAACCAGGAACCGACATTTTATCTTGAAATGCAAGTTATAGTAATGACAATAGAACAGAGAACAACAGGTAACATGTTCTTCAGATAACTATAGCATAAACAGAACAGAACAAGTTTACCAAACTCTCCATCTCACTCCAAATCACCTAAATCCAGTGAATTCTTCATCCTCAGTGTCACTTCTGAGCAACTCCGCGACCTCCGGAGGTAAATGGAGCGCCGCTTCCTCTTCTGTGTGGCTGTCGTCATCAGTTTCAGTTAAAATTATTTTGGCTTTTCTGAATCCTAACAGGATGGTTTATTTTTCTTTAAATTTCACATTTTCAGTGGTAAAGCAGTAACTGTGCGATCGACTGACATGATACCAATCAGGACAGCGGCTCTTTCTCTTTCTTCTGCAGCCGACATGCACAGTGGAGGGTGAAGAGACAGTGGTACAGCCTCGAGCGCCCTCTCTCTCGCACCTGTCAGTGTAAAAATTTTAATATATAAGTCGCACCAGAGTATAAGTCACAGGACCACCAAAAACATGAAAAAAAGTGTGCCTTATAGTCCAAAAAATACGGTGTATGGAAAAAAATAAAGTACATGGCCTTTAACTAGTTTACCTATCTCTTATAGCGTAAATGCTATTTGGAAGCTTTCTGGACATTTTTATTGCACTGAAAAAACTAGAAAATTGTGTCCTGACCTTCTGCTTGTTTCCATGGAAATCTTGTTCCTTCGGTTTTAATCTTCCACATTTTTAGTTATTATTATTATTATTATTTATTTTATTTTTTTGCAGATGTACACTTATTTTTAACAATTGCAATTAATGTCTTAAATTCTTATCAACTGTATATTTTGTTACTTCTTCTCCATTATCCTAACAAAGCATGTTATTGCAAGCAAATTGGGCTATGATATGCCTAAATAAAAACAGCTTAATCAACAAGTTTTCCTATGTATTCAATGCTACCAGTACAATCTGCATATATACATAATTTTCCAACTCTAATGAATCCTTTGTGAATATTCATGGAGGTTATGTAGCATAAGCATTCTACACTTATTGTGTTTATGGATGATATCGGACTAACAAATCTGAAGAATAGTTTTAAAGCTCTGGTTCCAGACATCTGCTGTTTACAGATTTATTACTGCCTTTTCTCTCCGGGGAGGATCTGCAACTGGCCCCTTTCCTATCACAGCTTCTCATTTGGTATGCATTGCGTCCATTAGCACACGGTGTCCTTCTGCTCAGAGAAAGAGTTATGCAAAAAGAATAACATTGCTGAAAGGTAAAATAAATAACCTCCAGCCAAGTTGACGCCATTATTCAGAATCATTCAAGCGCTAAAAACATTCCTCTTTGAGAAATTGGCGGCGTTGGCTTGACACGGTGGGGGACGAGGCCTTGATGAAGTGTCAGGTAAAGGGGACACATACATCAGAGTGGTACTGGAGAGCACTATGGAACCAGAGGAGGGTTTCAAGTCCAAAATGGTGTGTGATTGGAGCTATTTGTAGACTGTAAATGGTCTTGCATGATTTTATTATATACACACAGAGGCTGGGAGTTCAAAAATAGCTAATCAGAGTTGCTTTGACAGAAAAGCTATATTATAATATTCATTCATTTGCCAAGGGGGATTATTAATAGTACTTTATTACAATGGTGTAAATTTAAATAAATACTATTTATTTTCTTTCTGTGATTAAGTGCACATTTAACTTTTTCAGATTCATTCTTGAACATTTCGAAGAGCACCAGATAGACTTGAGGGCCTGAGACTTTCAAAATAGCCAAGAAACATTTGGAGTGGACATTTTCCATACTGACTGACCTGTACTGGTGAAGTTTTAGAAAGTAGATAAAAGTATAGCTGTGCAGAGTTAATATGTGAGCAGGCCCTTTGATTCCGGGGCTCATTGTAACCCTGTAGCCATAAAAGCTCTGGCTTTCTATTCTGTCCAGGAGCTGAAGTTTTGTCCTCTATGTGGGTCTCCATGCATTACAACATAAATGTTTCACTCAGCAGCTTTGTATTTGGCTCAGCAGCCTTGTTGGAAACAGAGCCTGAATATCAGCAAGCGCCTGCTCTGCCTCCCAGAATGTGTTTCGGAGTTTTTTGGCAGTGTAAGAAAAGACTTTCGGCTTTGTTCGTGAAATATAAGGGTGTCGCTTTCAAAATGGCAGGTTTAAAAACTGCTTATTTGTTGCTTATTTTAACCTTACACAACTCCACTTTCTCACTATTCACTGTAGAAATTCAAATGTGGGACTGAAGGGCCAAAGTTAAATACAATGCAAAGCAGCATGGCTACCTTTTAGGATCACGCTAAGTACATTGGGTGTAGGGCTGTTCTGATGCCGATACTGGTATCGGCAAAAGCTCTAAACATTTTTTCAGGTATCGGTATCGGCGAGTTCTCAGACCAAATCACCGAGCTGATACCACTCTGTATTTTCCTGAATGAGACCTGTAGATGCGAGTAGCTGTTGTTGACGTCTGTGGCTAATGCTACTGCTAACACTCTGAACAGGTTAAATGCAGACTGTAGACTCTGTGGACGCTTAAATCACGCAGTAACACAGAATAATAGTTACTTCTTAGATCCATTTAGCTTTTGGTGTGGACCATATGGTGTGTACACTGAGCTTGGTAAAATAACTACAGCTACCGAGAGCAGAGGCAGACAACAGCGACAACTCGGATTTTGTTTACACTGCAAAATTAGCCATGTGCTCTGAGGATAAGCATCTTTTTACAGGCCTCACTGTTGGTTTTATGCACTCTGTGCATGGATCTATTAAAGCTTCTGTGACAGAAAGTGACAAAGTAGAAAAGCAAAAGTACTTAAATCAGTACTACAGCAATACATTTCACTCAATACTTTATTCCTCAAAATGGAATTTATTCTTGCAGGTTTTCATAAAAAATAGCCTTTTAGAATATTTCTTTTTCGCTCTTGTATTGTAACAAAATTGAGTAGCTATACGCTATGCAGTATCAAACTGATATCGATATCGGTGAGTACTCCAAGTACAAGTATCGGATCAGATCCCAAAAAATGTTATTAGAACACTACTTGGGTGTCTTTAAAGGCGTTGTTCACATCAAAGTTCTTATTATTAATCTGCAAAGAACTAACTATACGAGGGAGATCAGCAAACAGAAATTATTCATTAGTTTCATTTTCCCTTTTAAGGCACAATTGAATAAAATAAAATTAAAAAAAAGAAAAATATAAAGAAAAATAATAAGTAATAAAAAAGATTTTGCTTTGTGAATTCAGAATTGCTATTGTAATTATCCTCATTTTCAGCTCTCAAACTCATGGATAAAGGCACTCTGAAAGACCTGCATCCTAAAATGTCTTTGTGAATACACTAACAGTTTTTTGTATTGCTTTGTCTAGATTCACATACACACTGGGAGAGGGCATGTGGCTACCGCTGAGTAAAAGCTTTGTGATCCCTCCGGCCGAACTCGCCATCAACCCTTCGGCCAAGTGTAAGACTGATATGACGGTCATGGAGGACGCTGTGGATGTACGGTAAGGCTGTTTCTTCTCACAGTTTTTCCCATTTCCACCAATGAGGCTTATTGTGTAGGTCTGACAAAAGCACAGGTACAAAAGAGGCCGGTATGAAAGGCACAGTTTGTTTCCACTGCGGTTTTGAAGGCATTATGTCCATTGTGATCTTTTACTTTGACAAAACCAAGAATGATTGTGCTTTTTGGAGACTGTAGATTTACACAGGTGTTCTCTTGAGTATTTTTTTTTATAATGCTTTCGAAAGATTTTGGATGGTTACAAAAGCTTTTTGCCACATTTTTTTTTCAACAAATTTCTTGTATTCAAAGGTTTTTACCATTGGAGCTCAATCTGGGACCCGGTCATATGTCATTCAGACTGCAATACTGTTAAAATTGGATCTAAAATGAAACACAAAAGTCAGAAATATCTCTTTACCTTTGTTTGAAAGATTATGCTGCAGCATTTGATTTGTTTTTGTCATATCCATGATAATATCCATTTCACATTAGCCATTACAATATCCATTACAATAGTCCCAATACATTAGAAGAAAGCTAATCATTTCAGTGCAGAAATTTGGCAGTATTGAGAACCAACTAAGTATGTACAATTGGACTTAACTGATCTGAATTCTCCCTATGTCATCCTTAGAATTTGCATTGTTTAATTGTTTTTCTTTTGGAACAGTGTACTGTATATTTAAGAGTTATGAGTCAGTTTTAGGTACCATAAGTATAAAATCTTGCTATTCAAAATATCTTGAAACTTGTCACTTTATATATAGACCACAGAGTCATAGCCCCAACAGCAGAATTACAGTAGTATTAGAGTTAGTTCTGACAGCAGGGATGCCACAGTATTAGTCAGTCAGTGTGGATCCTCTCGCTGTAACCCCTCCCAGCTCTGGTCAAAGAGATTGTGTCTCTGCATTTACATTTTGTCTGCCTCTCAGGGGACCACCAGTAGCTGCGCTGATGTGCATGTTGGGAAATATGCTCACAACTTCTGCTACAATATCACTCTGTCTGGGAGTGTATTGCAACATCCCAAACATATTGGAAGTCAACCACTGACAAGTTCACCAGGCTCTATAAAAGCCAATGGAACTGTCAGATGCACTGACAGATGTGCAACTTCATCTTTCTCCAATATAAACACTTTTCACACTTTGGCATGAACTAAACCCCCCCCCAAAAAATCAACTTCTGCTTTATTTCAAGTGTATAGTAACAGTTTATAAAGCATGAAGCAAGATGATCATAATTTAAAGTGATTCAGGAATAGTGACGACTTATTTAAAGGTTCTATATTTCACAAAACTGACTCTTGTGAGCTTTTAGCCTCCTGATAATGTTGTTACCTCCTCAAAACATACCTGGGGTTTTGTTTTGGTTCATTCACACACACATGTTTGACTAATCCTGGTTTATTTAGTCTATCTGCATCTGTTTTCTGTTTGAGAGAAGAACTCAGTCTAAATATGCAGGGATTGTGTGATAAATATGTGTGAACTCCAGGTAAGTATAAGGTATTAATTGAGTATTAAGTCTGAAACACTCTTAATTAAGTATTTGTTTGATGATTTTTTTTTTCTTAATGTGCAAGGTGTAGTAATTAAGGTATAGTTTTTGCAGTGGGACTGTTGAGGGTAATTACTGTTATTACTAAATGTAAGCGATGAGACTTATATTTAGTTAGTTTTAGTTTTGTTTTTGTTTATAAAATATCAACTGCCTCATTTCTCATGCAGCAGCTCTGTTCAGTAAAGTTAGTATAGTCATTAATATGATGTTTCCCTTTCCCTTTTATTTTTTGCCAACATGGAAACCCTGGAGACACAAATTCCACTATAGCTTTGTGTTAAAAGCTTAGACTTTCAGGTCACCAGTTGCTGCGTCAAACTACTTAAAGTGCAGCTCAACTTGTGTGAACTTAGGCTTAACTTCAGGGTGAGTGTGACCTTCCACAGCTCCAGAAATACTTCCCAGAGGCCATTTCATTAAGTCTGGCTCCATGTCCACGTTAAACGACTTGATTAGCAAAGGCTGGTCCAAAGGTTAACACAGGTTTTTGGCCATAATTCAGAAATGTAGTTAATTGGCATACATTTTCCTGCTCATTTGTATCAGGCTAAAGCGATGATGTGGTGACATTTTACATCCAGATTCTCAAAGGGCAGCTTTAGTATCCTGAGTTTTACCAACACACTTCTCAGAATATTACAATTCAAGTAATCTTTTTGGTATATTTTTTTTACTGCAGACTTTAATTGATTTGTACCAAAATTAATTTACTCAAAAAACTTTCAGATTGGTTTAAATTGATAAACGCAGAGGTCATTCATTGCATCTCTAAAACTTATGAAGATTCTGGAAGCAACTAAAATGCTCAGTATATCACATATTGTATTATCTATATTTTAGACTTAATTATTACTTAATTGGAAATAATCGATGCTTTAGAGTTGGACAAAACAGACATTTCAAATATAACCGTAGTTTTAAAATAACATACAGTTAAAATATTAAAGTTATAATTGGATTGGTTGGTTGTAAATGCTGAAAATATATTTTAGAAGAAAAATCTATAAAATATAAAATAGTCTCAAATGTGTTTACACAGATGAACCTTTTCATGAACAGAATAGCACCATTTCCTCACTGGCCTCGGCCTGTGCATTTTTCTATAGGCACTGTAAAGAGCATTGTGCATTCTTCATATTGACAGGTCCCTGATTCTTGCACATAACATTTATTAAATGTAAGGCAGTAAAGGAAGGCAGCATCACTTTACATAAATGCCACTGTTAAACATTTATAAGCCGTATATAAGCATTTATTCAATGTTTAAAAACTGTAGCTATAAATCGGCCTAGTTACCACTGCGCTATATGGCGAAACGTAGCACATACATAATATAGAAGCTCCAGACTGCTTTGTTACTTTCAATAATAATAAATTAGACTGTCTATTGGCATTGTGGATTTGTTCACTTAGGACTACAGTGTATCAATTATATATGAACTGTTGCTGTCATGTTAATAAATATATAATAATATGATTTCAATACATACAAATGTGTGAAGCAAGCATTTTACGTACTTGTTAAATGTGATATGTTACGAATAGATCAGTGATTTTTATATGGTGCAGACCCTGGTAAGCCAAGCTGGGCTTGCAGTTCTTATAATACCCTACAAAGACTATAATATGGGGCCAGAATCTGGAATGATATATACCAGGCAGAGGAACACATGGTCTGTTTGTTCAAAGCAAACATGGCCGCTTATACTTAAACAGAGAACTGAGAAACATGTTTGATAATCTAAATGCTCTTTATCTGAGGTGAAAGAAATGTATTTTAGTGGGAAGTTCCATATATCTGGGGGAAACAGGAACACCATTTGGAACACATAAAAAAGAACATCACAAAGTGTATGGAAATGAAATGGCAAACAGACAAACAAGAGTAATAAAAGAACAAGCAGAGCAGGAAAATCTGAAATCAGCCATATTCGACCACTGCAAGAGACAAAACCACATTATGGACTGGAACGATGCCAGGGTCATCTGTGCAGGAAGCAACAAATACCAACGCTGGATCAGAGAGGCCATCGACATCTGCAAACAAGGTCCAAGGAGCCAAAATCGTGACAAGGGAACCTACTCCTTATCACACACATGGGATGCGGTAATGGAGAAGCTTACGCCCCCTACTGTCTGGCAAAATCAAGTAGTGCAGCCTACAAGACAAGTCACCACACCATCACATGACTCTTCTGACAGGAAGCTGCCAAAATATGTATAAAGCAGGTACACAAACTCTCCTGTCTGACAAAAAGGATTGTTAATTCTACTTTGAAGATACGGTGTGATTGTGTAATTGGCAAATAATGAGCTTTATTCTATTTATGGTAAAGTGGATATTGGTGAATAAGCCCACAATAATAATACTTTTTTAGGCCTGTACTGACATTTGTCTTGGGCCTCTAAATCCTCATCAGTTTAGTCAGGAAAAGAGCTTTTACTGCTCAAACAAAAAAAGACTAGCATAACTGTAATTGATCATAATATACTGTGCACATTCCCCACAATGGGATAGGTTTGTCCCTGCCTATCCTTGGTTATGTCTCATTACCTCAAAGATTGCCTCTGCTGAACTTTTTCTGCCTCGTGGCCACTATAGCATTATGACTCAATCAAGCTAACATGGCGTCTATGAACAGGTCGTTTACAGAGAGCACATTAGCACGTAGCATAATTAGCGGTGTGCATTGTCTTTTATTGTATGCCGGGACATGCCCTCTCCACAGGTTTAGAGTACACAAGCGTGTCTGATGCAGCCCTGATTCGCCAGCGGTTATTTGCCCTGTGAAAATGATGTCAGGTAAAATTAGTTCCACACAACTGAATGTCCACATCATTGTTTCTCATTAGCGTTAACTCTCTAGGCTTCCATAATTCCACCAACGGGCTATTCTGATTCCACTTTTAATCAACAGTAGAAATAAAAAAAAAAAAAATCATCTCTGCTTAAAGGTGTGCTGTATTGGACTTTTACTGTGAAACATAAAAACCAGAACTAGTCCGTTTTAAATGGTTTGCAGTCTTAATTTATTCTTCACTCACTTTATGTAGTCTGAGCGTCCCAATTATTCACAGCAATGAGTTTATAAGCTCTTTAACAACTCTCAAACTGATTAACAGACAATTAAAATGCTTTCTAATTAGAGGCAGACAGCATACAGTGGACTTATGTTGACCTCAAGAGCTGCTTATACAGTAAATCTCTATTGCGACAAGAGAAATTCTGCGCAAATATATGGAAAAAATAATCTGGTACCCTTAATTTTTTTCATTTTATTTTTTTTCATGTATTTGCATCGTTAACAAATACTTTCAAGGTAGCTGAGTAAACACAGATTTTGCATAGTATTAGCTATCAAAGTGAGCTCCCACCTGCTTAGCTGCTTGTACTTGTAATTGCTGTACACCATGTCAAATGATTGCTTCACA